CGGCCTTTAAGGTGTCGCTCATAAATACAACAAAATAAAACCAGTACAGGTACCAAAAAAAAGATTTATTCATAACACACGGGAAAAGACCCAGGGAAACTGAGTTAATGATAAAAACCCTGAAAACCATAACTTTCACACCCGAGCATTAACTCTCGTGGCCTGATACCAAACGCCCAGGGGGTTGGGGACCGCTGATTCAACTCATTTTGTTCATAACGCTGTAAAAATACACTTGTTACACTGTGCAAAAGTTTCTAGCCACCCTTCATTACTTGATATTTCACCTACATTTAGTAATTTTTTAATGGGATCTTTAGGAACAGCTCTTCAGGCCTTCTATATGTGTATTTTTCCCCCTTTTCAGTTCAGTCCTTGAGCTGGCCACTTTTTTTGATCAAGGTCTTTTTATTGAACAAAGAATTGCTTCCAACAACAATTACGGCAATATTAACAAACAGTCTTGCCCCCCCACCCCACCCATCCAGAACAGTGTAACTAAAACCCAGCCAGAGAGGAAAGAAGAGATAAAATAAAATAAAATTACAGATACAAAGTAAATAATAAAATAAATGAACAACAGCAAGGGAAAAAAACAACAACAAAAAAACAAAAAACAAAACAAAAAAAACCCCCACTCACACGTACATTAAGCGATAGTATCCAGACTTAATCTTTCAAAGTAAGTAAGAAAAGGTTGCCATGTGTCATAAAACCTCCGAACCGAGAGCTGACCACTTTTAGAGGAATATTTTGGGGTTTTTGTCAAGCCATTTAACACCAATCTACTAAGACTTTAAACATGAATCACAGCATGAAGGTCCTGAGTTCAATTCCACCATCTGGCTGGGGTCTTTCTGTGTGGAGTTTTCATGTTCTCCCCGTGTTTGCATGGGTGCAAACATGTTCCTCCAACAGTCCAGAGACATGCAGTTAGTGGGGATAGGTTAATTGGAAACACCAAACTGCCCATGGGTGTGAATGCGGGAGTGCATGTGAGTGCGAATGGTTGTCTCTAGGGGTCGGTTTTGATAATCGATTCATCGATTAAAATTGATTCTGGCTTGGATAACGTGATATCGATCCATTAAAATCCTGAATCGATTTTT